GGCTAAACCCTTGCTCCCCTGTTCAGATGATTTTAGTATTGATTTCGGCTTTCTACCAGAAGAGGGAGCCACATTCATTAAAATGACTTCCATAATCCAAGCTGAGTTCTTTGCTCAGCAAGTTCCAGATGGAATGCATGTGACATCATGCTCAGAGCTTGCTGGAATCGACCTCTCTTTGGAGTGGTAGTTGGGGGCGGTGGATGAGTGCCTCAGAGACCAAGACCACAGGGTTATGAGGTGAACATGTGTTTAACTCTATAATGGGTAGGTACATTCTAGTTCTTTTCTCAATGAAAACAAAAACAAAGTAACAAAAATTCAAAAATCATATGCTAGTATTATCCAAATACCACATTTCAACTCAGTTGGGGATCACATCTGTGCTAGATTAAAAGCATTGAAGCTTTAAGCACATAATAGCCTATTTCTGTTTATCATTTCACAAGACAACTGTCTCTTTTTGTTGGATTGATGTCACAATATAAAAAATAGGTTGACTTTATTTTACAGTTTTGAAGATGTCTTGCCTCAAAATCCTCCCTGTATCCCTCACAAGCATGCTCTCATGTGTTTAGAATTCCAGCCTGAGCACTTAATTCATTTGCGTTATTAAGCTTCAGACAATCTTAAAACTGTAAATATCTCCAGTATGATCATGTGTTAATCTTTCAAGAGCCCTTTAGCTATATGTCCTAGATTAGTTTATTAGATGGGACAAACTTATTGCCACTGACTAAATGAAAGATGGTTATTTTGAGAAGGAGTTGGGAGACTTTATACCTTTGGTGTTCCTGGAAGATGGATCTGTAGGAGAGCTACATTAGGTATGTCTGGGCCAAAAAGTAGAAATACAGTGAGGCCTCCACAAGGACCATGTGCAAAGAAAATATAGCCAAAAAAAGAATACAGATTGTTACAGAATATTCAACCAGTGCACCATTGCTCTCAGTGGAGTACAATCTATAGCCTACACAAAATCATTGCTAAACCATAAATGGAATTTCTAGAGTGGGATATTGGCTATTCCTCCTGTGTCTTTTTCCTGATACTAAAATATGTCCAGTGTGTTGAATAGGAAAGTTTCAAAGCTAGGGGGCTGCAAGAAGTCAATGGACAAGCTAACTCTTTTTAGCCAGCTATTGTGATGGTCTTTGAGAATCCTTGGTGATAGCATCCACAATATGTTATGGATACTGATGGCATGGGCTAATATTTGTGGAACATCATTTCTATATAATCTCTTTACAAGTACTCACAGTGCTTGCTGTTATTACTGATATTGCATTATAGTAGCTTGGGGAAGTTAAGTAACTTGCCTAGGTCTCATAGTTAGGAAGATGCAGATCTGGCTTTTGATCTCTATCTGCCTCTAAAGCCAAAGTTGCTAGGTATTGTATTGTACTGCCTTCCATTCTTTCAAAGAGCTCCAAAACAATGAAGTTATGTATTCCCCCAATACAAATCCTCCTAGCCATTGTAAAGAGAATTGCTTTTGTATGAGTCACTGGGATTACAGAATTTAATATATCCCTATAGTAAAATTATTTTAAAGCATAACCTCCAAGGTAAAGAAATATTTTCAAAGTCAGGACCTGGTTATTGTGGTTTCTTTGTACTGTAAGTGGGTATATAACTTATACTTGGAACCCTTTCAGTGCCTAATTATGGCAGCCATATCTATGTATTTGCTATACTCTCTAGACTCTGCCAGGTTCATTTCATATCCGATCACAAAAGCAATCCCAATTTCTAGCTGGAAAGAGCTGAGTTTCCACTGCTCAAAGAAGCACTGCTGTGGGAAGCTGGCCTCACGTGGGTGTGGGTGTGGGCTGACCACACACACTAGCAACTGTGAGTGAGGGCCACTTTAATGCGAAAGCGTTGGGCTCAGCAGCCCTGATAAACTCTCATCAGAAGTTCCTGCGGGTGGCAAGGGAGTCTGGATGCTTACAGCTGCAGTCCTGGATTAATATTGCCACAAAAAGGAAGCTGTGTATAACTTCTCATAAAAGATGTCAGAAGCAGTCTGCAAGAGGAAAGACACCACAAACCCTCTAGCTGTTATATCAGTAAAGCTCCACCATCCCTTGGGTGAGCTTCCTTGAAAGGCAGACAGATGTGCTGTTTTGTCTTTGCAATTGGATCTAATTGGGAAAGAAAAGATTTCTACCTTGATTTGTAGAAGTACTGTAGCTCATCTTCTTGGGAGTTAAAAGATTAGAGTGATAGTGCAGTCCCAGGAACAAAATGGTAAACAGTGTCATCATTTGATACATTGCTTTCTCATCCACTGCTGTGAATTTTGGTGTTTCAAGGTCACTGAGAGTTGTTGGGAAATCTTTGTCTACACTTACTTCACAGTTTAACATTATCATATACAGATAGTACACCTGCTAACAGATAACTTATTTAACACTACAAGGATATTGATGGAGAATGAACTGAGTAGCCCTGAGCTCCAGGACTGCTGTGGTATGCGACAGGGACAACCTATCTATTCGCTGGACTGCATTTGGATGACAGAAATGCTGTTCATGGTGGGAAGATCAACTACTGGGACTGAGTCACCTTTTCTGCCACACATTGAGGAATCCACTTCTTATTGGAGAAGTAGTTTTAGTCTTTTTTCTTTGAAAGCTGTGCTATTATCATAGTGAATAAAAGACAAAGACAATGACTTTATTAATTGTGAAAAAAATGTACGTACTAGATCTTGGATATTTCCTTTGGATATGAATACAGGAGGAGCTGATTTTTTGGTCTCAGCTTCTAGTCTCAAAATTCCTTTGGGGATTGGAGAAGTTTGCAGCAAGTGAAATTCACTGACTGCCTGAAGATTCAAAATATACTCTCGAGAAAGTCCCGCACTTGAAGCAGAAAGGAAGGATCCAGGCACTGGGAAGGACTGTTTTTATTGACTCCACACTTTATTAGGTCTTTTCCCTTGAGCACTATTTAAAAAATAATTCCATATATAAGAAATGTAGGTGAATTATTCCAGTATGGAAAATGCCATTTGGTATCTTTATTACTTAGTAAAATGGTATGGTTTTAGAAAATAAGATTCAGGCAAGATCTCTGGTCACCAGACTTTATCTGTTGAAACTGGTCTTGCAAACCAGTTTGATAAAATTTTTAAGGAGTGTGTCTTCATAGAGTATTGATTAATTAAGTGCATGGACTGGGGAGCTGTGTTGTCAATTGAATCTTGACTTGAACTCGTTGTTTGACCTCTTCAGTCATAGATTTCCATAATTTGGAAAGTGGGAATGGTACTTTTTACATAATTCTAGAACCATTGTGCAGGTTAAATGAATTGTCATATGTGTGTATGCGTGTGTATATAAACACATATGCACAAATTTTATACATTGCTTAAAGTAGTGCACTACAAAATTAAAATTTGCTGTTAATATCCTGTTATCACTCTTAACCACTTATATTTTATTATTTTTGTTGATATAGTATGGCCTCAAAGCTAACTCCATGAGTTATTACATACATTTCCTGTGGGTAGGTGAGTGACTACACAGAGGTGAGGGAACAAGAATATGTAAAGCAGAGCCTCTTCTCAGGTCAGGAGAAAATTCTTTCATAAAATATGTAGTGGTCGACCTTTAGAAGTCATATGATCAAATATTATGTTACAAGTAAAGAAATGGTGGCCCAGAGCTACCTGACTTGCACAGGGCAGTGTGGCTAATTCATACCAAAGCCGGGGCTAGAAGCTGATCCTTGTGTGCTTTGATCCTAATGCAAGCTGCAGAGAAGAAAGGACAGTTGGTTTGGAATCAGGAGAGTTCTTTATTTTGTTTCATTATATATCACTTTAAGCAGATCTGAATGATAGCTCTGCACAAGAGTTATTTTCTCATTTGTAAAATAATAAGGCTTTCTATCCTGCCTACCTTGCAGGGTGGGGAATTCAAATGGTAACATGAGTTATCAACTCTAAAGAACTCTGCAAATGTGAATTCTTGTTATTGTTGCATCATTCACCATGAAGTAGTTTAGAAATGACCCCCACCGGAATTGTTCTTAATGATGGCAAAGATAGGAATTAGTTCAGTGATTTATTTTAGCTTGTTAAATAATAGCTAAATAATTGTGCTGCTTGCAACCACTGGGTGATTTGGGGATGTGTAGACCAGCCTGTTAGGCGATGTCTTTTTCAGGTTAACATCTGTCACCCGAATACTTCATATCACTGCTTAACATATTTATTCTCACAAAAGGGCTTGGATTTTTATCCCATGACATCTGTATTGCTTTTAAATAAGGAATATCTGAGAGATTCTGAAGTGCAGGGATTTTTTTTTTTTTTTAAGGCCACATCTGTTAACCTTAAAACCTGAAAGGTGCTGGAATCAGTGGAAGTATTTTACCTTTTCTCAATTTTAATTTGGAAATTTAAAATTTTCTTACGATTCAAGTTAGTAGTACTTAGGGGCTGGGGATTTAGCTCAGCAGTTCGGTGGCCTGCCTCGCAAGCGCAAGGGCCTGAGTTCGATCCCCGGTACCACAAAAAAAAAAAAAAACAACAAGTTAGTAGTACTTAATCTCCAGACAGTGCTAGGTAGAGTAATCTTGTCATCTAGAATGTAGCATAAACTATCTCAGAAGGGAACTATGCCAGGTTGACTGCCTCAAATTATAAAAAGAAGAAACATGCTTTAAATCGCAAGCTAAAGAAATGTCAAACACCCTAAGACCAGATTTCAAGTTTAAAGCCTGTATTGCTTCTTGGCCTTTTGGCTAAGATCAAATCAAGTTTAAAGCCTTTTTGGTAGCTATAGTTCAGTTCTTCAGTTTATGTGTGTGGTGAATTTTAAAGAGAGTTCAAGACTATGCTGAGATGAAAGACATTTTATGGCTTGGGTAATGTGAGCAATTTGCTAAACTTAGGGATCTTTAAATATAAAAATGATTAACATCAGATAGGAATGAAACAGTCTTCATTTTCTGTCTGAATGTGTATGTATGTGTTTCAATTTAAGATGGGAGAAATGAGCCTACAGCAAGAATACAAAAGACATAGGGAAAAATTATCTGCAGAAAGAGCTGCATCTCAGCACTATGGAGAAAGACAAAAAGTATGTAATATAAGTGACCGAAACCCAAATGTTATGGATGATATCTAGATGTTCCCCCAAAGTCTCATGCAGCCATAGGTGGAGCTTTGGGGAGGTGACTGGGTCACGGGTGTGTGATGTTTATGTCTGGAACAGTCGTCTAATGGGTTTAATAGCTGGGTGTGATGTTGGGAGGAAAAGCCTCATGAGAAGAGCTGGTTTATTGTGAGTATGGCTGGAAAAACTGTGTATATACTTTCTCCTCTGTTGTTTCCTATCTGCTTCTGCCTGCCATGCCCCTCTGCCATGCCACCCTGCCTTGGAACCAGCCCACTATGGACTGAAACCTCAACAAACTGTGAGCCAAAATAAACCTGTCCTCCTTTAACTTGTGGGTGTTTGATGTTTTGTCCCAGAAATGAACAAGTAACTAAACACCAAGATACTGATTTATGAAAAGATGTTATAGGCAGTCTTGAATATAATGTAGTTACTTAAATATTTTGAACACCAATGGCAACATGAAAAATTTATTCATGATATAGTATTGAGCAAATATCAAATTATATGTAAACTATATCTCTGTACAGTATGAACAGGCAAAATGACTGATAGCACATTACATTAAAATAATGGTTTTGTTGGTCATTTTGTCACATTTCTGGGTTCCTTCTCTTTGGAACATTCCTCTCCCAGCTCTTTACAGTGGGTGATTCCTTTGCATCCTTTTGTTCTGTATGTGGATGTGGCCTTACACCTGACTTCCATCACAGTGGCCCCTTTATACTTCCAGACCTTGCCTATCCATTTGCTCAGAATACCTTAAGAACAACGACGACATATCTTTCATCCCTGCTGTTGGTGCAACACCAAAGGCAATGCATAGGCACTCACACATCTGCTGACTGACTGGCCGATGCTACTAGAATAAACTCTAAATAACAGAATTGTTTGATATAAAGTGATCTGAAAAGTCCATAACTAAATCAACACAGTTGTTAATACTGAATAATATTTCTTTCATGAGAACCAAAGGATTAAGATTCCTACCAGGGTTTTTGTGCAGCGAATTAGTAAGTAGAAGGTGACTTGAAAGAGTGGTTTCCAGTCCTTTAAATTTCATTGACACCAGTAAACATGGTATTTTACAACCCAAAGCTTAAACCCATCAGAACCAAGGTGTGTCTCTTGTCAGCACCAGATATCCCCCTGTCCATCTGTCTTCCTGCCATCTGATTGTGTAATATCTTTTTGCCAGGAGAGTTTGCCTGCTTCTCTCTTACTCTTTCAAGGCATGCGGCTGAAGCGCATTCATTTTCATGGCCTATAAATTTACATTGCATGGGTATACCATTCTTGAGATGTTCTAATAGAAATTTAAGGTGCTTCTACAAATAATACCTAGCATAATGCTTCTAAGAGTTTCTTGGAGCACTTGTGTAGGAGTCTCTTGAAAATACGTTAAGTCGTTGACTGTGAGCATTTTGAACATTGTCAGATGCCAAATTGTTAGACAGTTTGCAGTCCTACTAGCTATGTACTTACTGTTGCTGTACATCAGAATTCATCAGCCGGGCATGGTGGTGCATGCCTGTAATCCCAGCACTTGGGATGCTGAGGCAGGAGGATCGCTGTGAGTTTGAGACCAGCCTGGGCTACATAGTGAGTTCCAGGTCAGTCTCAACTATACAGTGAGAACCTGTCTCAAAAAAAAAAAAAATCATCACCATCAGCACTGCATAAACAGTTTGGGCCAGACTATTTTCTATGCATTGTAGGATGTTCAATAGCGCTTCTGACCTCTACCTGCTAGATCCCAGTAGCAACCCTCCACTGGTAGTGATAACCAAGAATGTCTTCCATTGTGAGCAAATGTCCTCTGGAAAAAATTAGGCATAATCATCCCAGTTTGAAGACCATAGCTCTGTCTTTGCCAACATGGTATTATCTAGTCTCTCTTCACATCTGTTAACAGCAAAAACCTGGGATATTGACACCAATATTACCTGCCTCTGATGAGGAATCCCTTAAGGTATCCAAATACAGCTTATTTTTTCATGTCGAGGCATTTTCTCACATTTTTATCTTAAAATAAAATCATTTTATTTCTAACTTGTAAGACTACTCTGACATATCAACCCAACAATGCTTAAACAGTTTTCATTTGGACAGATCAATGGAGAGTAAGAACTCCAGAAGGACTGAAAGGTAAGGATTAAGCACCTGGGCAAGTCATGTCTGAATGTAGACACTCGAACAGGCTGGAAACTTAAGCCACAAGAGAGCACATACTTGATTTGGAACAGGAATGGTAAAAGAAAAGATAAGGAAAAGTCTCATCTAAACAATCCCTCAAACCTCTGTGGTTTATCATTGATTTTATAAGGTCCCCAAATAGCAATATATAATGGTATAATTTAGTGCCCCATTATCATCCTACTGAATCTTCAGCATAGACCAGTAAAGGAGAGAGATACTTAGAAATGAACAGCCTCACCACATCTCACATCTGGAAAGAATCAGAACCAGGATTCAAATTTACTTTTGTTCTGGAACCCAAGTTTTTTTATCAGCTACCATCTTCCTGCTTCCTGTAAACATAATCAATATTTGAATATTGAAGCAAAGCAGCAGTTTAGTTGAATTTTATGTACCCTTTGGCACAATGGGTTTTGTGGATGGACCACCAGGGATTGTTGAAAGAGATTAACTTATACACCATGAAAAGTCGCTTACCTGTCTCTGTGGGGTTTTTCCCTGCTTTACATTCCCTTAGCGTGGATCTGTACACAGTGAACCATTTGAAAATTGACTTCTTGCCTATGGGCTGAGAATCGTTCTTTGATAGTTTGCTGTGCCTCACTTCTTTATATTGTCTGTTTTCTTAGGCATTGCTGTGCTTAAAGTAGGTATTCAGCTGATGCTTGCTCTGTTCAGTTGAAATATGCTCATATTTGAGATAGAAGTTTTGAGAACCCAAACCTACAGAAGACATAAATTATCCAGTCTAAATGCACAGAAAGGGCTCTTAGCCAATTTGCAAGGCTAGCTCTAAATAAGCATGTTCTTTGGATTGGAATTTATCTTATGCAATCACTGCTTGACAGAGAAACTGAAAGTTAGAGGTTTAAGGTAACTGAGAAGAGAAAGTGAAAGTGCCTTTTAAAATTTTTAATATATTTCTTTTTCACTGAGCTTATTGGTACGTTTTAGGTATACAGTATAGTCACATGCATCATTGGGATCTTGTACCTTTACATGAAGTATCTTGGTTCTCATTTTTTCCCATACCCCTGTCCTCCCTTTAACCCCCCATTCTTCCCTATTTACAAAAACTTTGTTTCCATTTTCGCCTTTCCTCATATTTTTCTTTTCCCTTATTTCCTTTCCCCTACCCTTCCCATTTCCTCTACACCTTTAGCCCCTTTCTTCCTATTTCACATTATCAGTTTTTCAATTTTCATCTTATTTACACTTTTAGTTTTTCATACCAGAGAAACTTCAGTATTTACATATGTCAAATTTATACTTGAGAGTATGGCCTCAATATGCATCCATTTTCCTATGAATGACTCTAGGTTCTCATTCTTTATGGCTGAGTAGTACTCCATTTTATAGAAAATCCACATCTTCATCCAGTCTCCAGTTCATGGGCAGTTGGGCTCTTTCCATGTTTTAGCTAGTACAAACTGTGTCGCTATAAACATAGGTGTGCATATATCACTGTGATATGATTCTTTTAATTCTTTTGGAAAGATACCCAGCAGAAGGATAGCTGGATAAAATGAAACCCCTAATCCTAGTTGCTTGAGGTATCTCCATATTGATTTCCACAATAGTTGTACCGTTAGCGCTACTACTCTGGGGAGAAGGGTTCCTATCTCCCCAGAACCCTGCCACCATTTGTTATTGGTTGATTTCTTGATAACAGCCATTCTTTCAGGGGTGTTGTTTTCATCTTCATCCCTTGAATGACCAGTGGTGTTGAACATTTTTTCAAATATTTATTTGCTACTGTTACTTCTTTTTCTGAGAAATATCTGTTCATTTCAGATGCCCATTTTTTAATCGAGTCTATATTTGGGATGCCTGATGTTTTTGAATCCTTTATATATTCTAGATAATAGTCCTTTGTCTGAGGAACAGCTGGTAAAAAAATTTTCCCATATTGTAGGCTGTCTCTTAGCTCTGTTGGTGGTTTCTCTTGCAGTGCAGAAGCTTTTTAATAAGATGAGATCCCAGTTGTTGATTCTTTGTGGTAGTTCCCATGTTACTAGGGATTTGTTCATAAAGTCTTTTTCTATGCCAATGTCTTTGAGAGTTTTACCTAACTTATCTTCCAGCAACTTTAGTGTTTCTGTTTTAATATTTAAATCTTTAATCCACTTGGATTTTAGTTTAGTACATGGTGAAAGATAAGGGTGTAGTTTTAGTCTTTGACAGGATGAAATTCAGTTTTTCCAATACCATTTATTAAAGAGGCTATCTTCCCTCCACTGAGGATGGTTGGCTCCTTTGCCAAAGATGAATACATCTGGAGTTATTTCTGTATCTTCCTATCTATTACACTCATCTTCAGGTCTTTTTCTTTGCTAGCACCATGCTGTTTTTTCATCACAGTCGCTTTGTAGTATAGTTTCAGGTTGGGGATTGTGATACCCACTGTCATGTCTCTGTTACCTAGAATTGCTTTTGCTGTTCTAGGTCTCTTCTTGTTCTAATAATTTTTTTATTGTTTTCTCTAGTTCTGTGAAATAGACTGTTGGAATTTCAATTGGGATTGCCTTGAATCTGTATAGCAGTTTTGGTATTATGGCCATTTTCACTATGTTGATTGTTCCTATCCAGGAACAAGGGATATCTTTCCATTTTCTTATATCCTCTTTGATCTCTTTTTTCAGAGTGCTGTAGTTTTCAGTGTAGAGGTCTTTTGCTTCCTTCATTAGATTGATTCCTAGATATTTCATTTTTTTGGATGCTATTGTGTGAAAAGTGTTTCCCTAATTTCTTTGTCAGTGAGT